GATGTGACCCCACAGAACAAGCACACACACACACACACACACACACACACACACACACACACACATTGACAGTTGTCAAAATCTGAAAAAAACTATGTCTCAGTTGACCTAACTTGACCCTCCACACACATACACACTTAAAAAATGCATTTTTACTGTAAACTTAAGGTCACTCTACTGAATTTCCCCCTACCATCCCCCTCTAAGGTCCCTTCCCCTCCTCCCCTATTACTTGGTATGTTCCCCTGATCACCCTGACCATGTACCCTCATGAACAAACACCCTTCCCCCATTATCAAAGGAGTAAGACAGTGAATAAACAAGATGAGTGAGTCAAGAAGGAGAAGCGTTATCTGGACACTATTTGAATTTATTCCACCAGCAGCCGCATCATGCACGATTTGCAAAGCAAAGCTCTCCACCAAAGGTGGGTCAACAGCAAATCTCCACAGACATTTAAAGTCAAAACATCCAACTGTGCAGCTTGAACAAGTAAGACAAGAGCCTCAGCCTGCTCCTACAGTAGAAGACAGCAGCAGCACCAGCACTGCTCCAGCCAGTACTCGCACTGCTGTATCCACACAAGGGGCAACAGATAGGCCCAGAGCAAGGCGTGCACAAGCCACCCTCACTCACTTTGTGTCGAGGCCTATCGACCCCATGAGGCAAAGGGCAATGGATGAGGTGCTGGCAAAGATGATTGCACTTGATTTGCAGCCTTTTTCCATTGTTGAAGATAAGGGGTTTCGGCAATACACAAAGGAACTGAACCCCAACTATGTTCTGCCAAGCCGCAAAACACTGTCAAATTCAATTATCCCAGAGCTGTACAGGAGGACACATGAAAAAGTTCAAGAAAGAGTGGATAAAGCTGAAGCAGTGTGTCTCACCACAGACTGCTGGACATCCAGGACAACAACTTCCTTCATGTCTGTGACATGTCATTTCATTTCTGACTTTCAAAATGTGTCCGTCCTGCTAGATTGTTTGGAAATGAGCGACAGGCACACAGCTGACAATCTGGCAGAGCAACTTTTGAGGGTTGCAAGGGAGTGGAACATTGTGCATAAAGTTGTTGCCTGTGTCTCTGACAATGCTGCCAATGTTGTGAAGGCCATCCAGAACACAGGTTGGCCCCACCTATTCTGCTTTGCCCACACCCTGAACCTCATTGTACATAGTGGCATTGCTGCTATTAAACCTACAGTAGATAAGGTCAAGGCAACTGTGGAATACATGCACAAGAGCACAGTTGCCTCTGAAAAACTGAAGGCCACATAAAACCAGTTGGGGTTGCCAGAACTGCGTCTGAAACAGGATTGCCCAACTTGTTGGAACTCAACATATTACATGCTGGAGAGAATACTGCAGAACAGAGAGGCTGTCATCACAACACTGGCCTTAACAAATCCTAGACTGGCCACCCTATCTCCAGAAGAGTGGGAGGAGATGCAACAGGCCTGCAATGTTCTGAAGCCCTTTGAGGAGGTCACAGTTGAAATAAGCGGTGAAGGGTACGTGTTTTTCAATATTATTGCATTGTCGTGATAATACTGTGATTTTGAAGGCCTAATTTTCACTTGCACAGTCACATCAAAACAAAGTCATAAACCTGTCAATCAAGCTACTCTAGGTCATCACCACAGGAACTTGACTTCAGAGGAGCTTCAAAGGCTTTATCTTACTTCCTAGCTAGAGCTTTTCATTGCTATTTTTCAAACTAATGATTATGAATATGATCATTTTACAACGATTACTACTAATAGTTATACTGGTATTAATAATAACAACATGCATATTATTATCACTAAGAGGCCTAACCCTTCTTTCTCTTTCACTCAGGTATGTGACAGCTTCAAAAGTCATCCTTTTGGCAAGAGGTCTTCAAAAGATTGCATCAAGCCACCAACGAGCTGCTGGAAACCTCAGTGAACCAGTTAGGAAATTGGTGGACAACATCTGTTCCCAAATGTCTCACCAGTTCCATAAAATAGAGTCCCATGTTTTGCTCTCTGAGGCAGCAGCACTTGACCCGAGGTTCAAGAAGAAGGCCTTTCGGCAGGATGAGGCAGCTGACAATGTGTTTCATCGCCTCTGCAATTCTGCAGCAAGGATGACATTCCCCAACCAGCAGGCTGAGGGAGAAGAAGAGGGAGCAGAAGCACAAGAGGGGAGCTCCACACAGGAGAGTGCAGTCTGGAAAGAGTTTGATGAGCAGGTCTTTGGGCTTGTGACAAGCAGTCGCAATCCAACTGCAGATTCTGTGCTAGAGGTCCGTGGATTTATAGAGGAGCCTCTAGTGCCCAGGTCCTCAAACCCCCTCACTTGGTGGCAAAGTAGAAGGGTGGTATATCCCAGACTCTGTGAATTCATGAAGAGGAGACTCTGCATTGTGGCCACATCTGTCCCGTCTGAGAGAGTGTTCAGTAAAACGGGGCAGATAGTTTCAGAGAGAAGGAGCCGGCTCAGCTCTTCAAAGGTCCGTCAGCTGGTATTCATCAATGCAAACCTGCACATGTAATCTTAATTGAAGATTATTAGAAGAAAATCAATGAATCTTAATTTTCACTGATATTCCCATTGTTTGCAACAATATTGCTCACCTGGCATGCTGGTGATTTTTTTTGTTGTCTCTTGACTTTGTTTTGCACTACAGTTTATTTTGTTTGTGATTGCACATTTAAGTTAATATTTTGTTTGTGACATTTTTAAAATGTAGACCATTGTAAATAGTTTCTACCTTGTCTATTTAATATTTGTTTTTGCACTGTAGTTTTAGTCTATATTTACTTTTTTGTATTTTCTTTTTGATTGCCTATTGTTTTTTATCTTTTGAGTTTTAATTGCACTGTAATTTATGTTTCTCACTTTTATTTTTTATTGTTTTCATTTTATCTAATTAAAAATAATTAATAACCTAATATTTATTTGCGTACATCTTTTATTTGCGTAGTGAAACCTAAAATATGAAAAACGGGTGGTGAAAGTGATTGTGTGTACTGATTCTGAACGGGAGCTCTGAGTCTCTCTCTCCCTCTCAGTTCATTCAGTGAACGAACTGAACGAGAGCTCCGCTCTTCCTCTCAGTTCGTTCAGTGATTCACGTCGGCGCTCTCGTACAGTTCGTTCAGTGATTCACGTCGGAGCTCCCGTTCAGTTCGTTCAGTGATTCACGTCGGAGCTCTCGTTCAGTTCGTTCAGTGATTCACGTCGGAGCGTGATTCACGTCGGAACTCTCGTTCAGTTCGTTCACTGAACGTACTGTGAACGGGAGCTTTGAGACACGAGACGGAAGAGAGGAGAGGGCAACTGAAGTTGACTCTTTTTAGTAAATGATTCAGTTCAGTTCGTTCAACCAGATGATTCGTTCGTTTTGAACGAATCGTTCATGACCGACACATCACTAGGAAAAACGAGTTGCCGGGTTGTAAAATGCACATGAACACCTGCTCAGTGCTCAAGCCGGAACAACAACTTGGTAAAGAATCCGACCTCGACCCTCTGCTGCATATCATCCCCCACTCTCACCTCCTAACATGTCCTTTCTCTCTTAAGCTGTCCTATCCACTAAACGCAAAAACCACAAATAGCCTACTTTTAGCATGTGATAAAATTGGTAGGCCTAATTGTCAAATGATTATCCATTATATATTCAAAACGTTTGTTTGAGGCGTCTGGTGGTTGCGCACGCCCCATGTGTGAAGGCTGTGGTTCTCCGGCTGGTCAGCCTGGGTTTGGGCCCGGCCTGTGGCTCATTTGCCACGTGCCCCTTTGCAGCACCCGCTCTTTCTCTCTCCCCAATTTCTGACTCTACCCGTTTTCCTGTCTTTAAATAAACCTTTAAAAATGTAGGCCTATATAGGCTATTCTAAAGGTGCAGAAGCCCCGGGTGTGACAAAGAAAGCCGCAAGCAGCAAGTGTTAAACATCCGTAAAACATCAACAAGCTATTACATAATGTGTTTCTGTAAATACATCCTCTTTTATCGGATTTCATCCCATTCTCTAAAACAAGAAGTCAAGGATCAGTCATCTGGAGCATTTTGAACATGTTACCGTTCAGTATGTCAATCATTTTTCAAAAATGGAAGACAGATCAAATAGATTTTTCATTGAAAGAAAACAACCTGAACTAAATCATCCTGTATACATGATGAAAGGAGAAACACATTTTAACAAGCTGCAGTTTAAAGAGTGAAGAATTTTATTGTTTGGAGGACTGATCTTTTTTTTTTTTTTTTTTTTTTTAACTGTAGGCCTAAATGTAATTTAATTCAAACAATATTTGTTCTTTAGAAGTTAGAATCACGTTTAGGTATTGTCCAGTTTATTAATCATAAAACACCAAAAACAAGCAGATAGATACATTTAATAAAATACAATTTTAATATGAAATCAACAGAAAAGCGTGTGCTTAAGTTTGACGTTATTTTTTGTGATGATTTATTTAATACAAAATATTGATTGTAATTGAGTAATATATTATATTTTGATGTTTCACTTACAAAAACTTTGACCAATGTGACTCAGATTTTTTATTTAGAAAACCTCTTCTAGGAAGATTGAGACAATAAAGTCGATATCTTTACTCTAAAGTTCTCAGAGGAGATTTAAAGGTGAGAGCAGGTGTTGACTTCAGTTCTACATTGAAGGTATTGAGGTGAACTTGTTTTCACTGTGTACCGATAATCGGAAAACAAAGATGTTAACTTGCAGTTCATTCTGTCAATTAATAACTGAAGGTGTTGGCAGAAAAAAAAACAAATTAAAACAAATTTACATACAACAGAACCTTAAAGGAAAGGGAAATACAAAAGACCGGCTGTGATTTAGTGAGGGGTCATTTTGTTGTTATTGATAGATATTGAAGATATTTATTGGATATCAAAACACGTTACAAAAATGAGAATCGAACACCAGGCGGAAGACAAACCACAGATATAAGGAATATTTAAAGTAAAGAATATAAACGAAAAGAAAAAAAACAAGACACCAAATTCCATGAACACAATTTTTCATTTTATTGTTTTAGTTGCATGACTACAACAAGGACTGTCACAATATCAGAATCATAACTTCCATACAAGTCTAGTAAAAATCAAATGATATCATTATGTTTCAATACCATGGCAACTAAAATAATCATCCTCAGGCCATATATCAGATAATGTCGGGTTTTTAATGAACAAGAATTTCGGGTTAATACCCTGCACACGGTCTAAATTACACAAATACACTGACAACTATTCAGTACTGAAATGTTGACGATGTTTTTATGCTCTCCGGTCCAGTTCAGACTGACTGTTCAAGGTGGGATATTTACGCCCCTGTGACGTTTCTCCTTCACTATGAATGTTAAGGAGGTGTAATGGAGGACGAAGTGGTCCCACCTCTGTGCCGCCATTGGAGGTAGTAAAGGAGGCGATACAGGTGTGAGACAGGATCAGTGGAGCCAGAGGGGGAGAGCAGCCTGTGTGTGTGTGTCTGTTTGTATCTTTGAAATCGTTTCTTCAAACGGCAGGTGTGTGGTCTCCCCCGCTCTGGCAGAGTCGTCTAGTGTGCGCGTTCTGAGGATTATAATATTAAAAATCCCTAGAAACTGTATGTCTGTGTTTTTAAAATCAGTTAAGAATTTGAAATCGTCTAGTGTGTGGCCATCTTTAGTTGCATAAAACCAAACAATAAAACAAAAATCACATTCAGTGGAAATTAACTTTGTCACTTTTTGTGCCTTGACAGCAAGCTTAAAATCTACCCGTTTCCAAAATAAAAAGATTTACTGAAAACTTCCAGCGTTAACGTTAAAGGTCCCATAAATTAATTTCAAAGTGCCTTGTTTGAAGGAGAAAGAAAAGCAGGTGTCAGGTGTTCCCCTGTGCAGACAGACGGGAGCATGCCTATGTTCCCACATTTCATTTTTCATAAATTTGTATCAGATTTTATCCCCCTTTCTTCCAATTTGGTAGCCAATTACACCCAATCTATTATCCAGTAGCAATGGACTACGTATGGAATGTAGCTTTTAGCTAAATCTGGTGCACCCATCTCTTTGTTTATTGCAAACATTTAATGTAAGTGCACATTGTCCTTTTAAATAAACAAACTAAACTAAGTAGCACAGAGGCCTCGCATTGACTAGCTTCCAGTCAGATCAGTCGAAAGAAGCGCAGCAACTGGACGCAAACCATAGTTTGCAGTGCATCAATACCTCTGGAAAGCCGGGTTGGCATAGAGAGGGGGTGCTCCTGGGATGCTTGGAGTCACTTTCCAGCCCTCTGGAGGCGTCATAGGCTCATGGATAGAAATGTGGGAACATAAGGCCTAATTTTCAGTGAAATTTTTTTTTTTTTAGAAATGTGGGAACATAGAGCTGTGGGACCATTGGGCTGTGGGAACATAGGGCTGACCCCCTGATGGACATGAGACGATCTGATCCACAAAGATTAAAAATCAACAGCCCCCCTGTTTCCTTCACCCCTAAGTGATTTTTAAAGAAAAAAAGCAGGACATATAGACCCTCCACCACAGACCGTAAAATTATCTTGAATCAAAATATCAAAAGACACCAAAGTCGAGGTGCCCTTGAGTTTTTCTTTGGACAAAGCAGGGGGCACCTGCACCTGAAGACCTGCAGGAACGAGGCATCAAAGTCCCTTTCAGTCTCCTCCTCTTTCCCCTCTTCCTCTCCTCGTTCAGCAGCTCCCCTAAGTGGGCCGTTTCCTTTATGTCTCTTGGGTCGGTTGGCTTGACACTTAACTGTTGTTATTGGAATTTAATGACAATCTCAGTCCCCTCAGTCCCCCTCTCGAACGGCCTGCAAGAACACACAGAGAGAAGAAAACAACACACACACACAAAGTCACACGTGGAAAAACAGAGAAGACATGCAAAAAGATGCATTGCACCCATATTTAAAATTTCTGCACACTCAATTGAATGGAGGCACCGGTGTTCACCATGGACCACATGCAGGACCCATAACATCTATTTCACATTGCTGTTGCCGGTCACTGTAGCTGCACCCCCTTTAATCTCAGATGCATCCCAAGTCCTTTTGTTCTAGATCCAGGGCTACTTTACATAAATGTGACGTTTAATATAACATATTCTCAGAAAGAGTGCAGAAAAGAGTATAAAGCAGCTTCATTACGTGCAGACAAAGATCAAACAAGTAATGTAAACGTCATCACCTGCTCCCGCTCGCTGGCGGTGAATTTTACAGAATATTTCTTGCTCATTTTAAACATCAGCTCATTGCTAAGAGGCTTGCATGACAAACTCTGGGTAAAGTCGGGGTGAATAGTTCAGCTGTTTGTTGTTCACACATACAGCTCACCTGTTTGGTGCATGTGTGAACACAGCAATAATGAATTCAGGAACATTTAAAGTGATGATGCAAAGGACAGAAGTAGCTGTTTTTAGATATGCACTCCTTTTTAAAAACTTTTTAGAGACAATACACTTACGATACAACACAAGAGACAATTACAGTGAGCACAGGCCAGAAAAGGGGTATATTCATGTTTTACTTGAGGTTAAAGATTTTACTGAGGTGCTCAAATTGGATGTTCGTGGCTATCTCAACGAACCGCAATATAGTGGCGAGGCAGTTGCTGCAACCGCCACAGACGAGTGCGTTCTGGGAGTTGGTGTCTTTCATCCACATGAGCCAAAAAGACACTTTCTGCCTTTTCTTGGTCAAGAAGGCACCCACCTTCAAAATGTATTTCACATTTCTACTACATATATGACCTAATGTCAATACAGATTCACGTTTCAACGGGTGAAGTATCCCTTTAACAAGTTGGCACAGGTGATGAAAGTTTAGAAAAGATTTGGTGCAACAAAAGAGGTCCATTACAAAGACAACATAAAAAAATAGTACTCATGTATCTGAGTGTTGTTCTTTCAGGTAAGAAAGCAGAGTAGTTGACTTACCTGAGCTCAATTCCTGCCACCTCCAGCATCCTTCTGGAGGCTTTAAACTCATCCCTGTCTTTGTACATATCAGAGAGATAAATCACTTCCTTTATACCTGGACAGAGGGAGGAAACAGGACTGTAAAATTTTGTTTTACTGTGTGGTGCAATCATATTTACAGGTACTTTAAAAATAAAAAAATGTTTTTAATGTTAACACACACCTCCCTGGATGATGAGCTTGGCACACTCGTTGCAGGGAAACAGAGTCACGTACATGCTGCATCCTTTCACATCCGCACCGTTAGTGTTCATGATGGCGTTCAGCTCTGCGTGGCACACTGAGAGACACACAAAAGAAGAAGACTTTAAACTTGCTGGTAAATCATTGCAAACAAGGACACGGATAGCTCTAGCTACAGGTCTTAAATTAAAGCTTTGGAGAGAAGCAGGAACAAAGTATGGGAACATTATCTCCTGAAGAAGAAAAATATGATAAAAGATTCTTTAGGAGACAGTTTTACAATGAAATCTAATACGTCAACAAAACTTAAGACCTGCAAACTCACTTTAATATGTGACTCAAATGATTTTACAGCCTTTCTCTTTCAAACAAGTGAGAACAAAGTTTAAGCAAACTGCGAGTAAGACTCAGAAATAGTTATATAATCTGTAAACTGTTTGAATTGACTTTAAAATGTGTTGTCTGAATTACTCAACAAACATAATTCAACGCGTTTAGATCTTCTGAGGGATAAAGGAGAAACAGACTTGGATGAACCAATTTCAAAAGCAGTTTGGCACAAAATAATAGTCAATTTTCTCCCCTTCTATATGTCTTAGACATGCTGTTATTCAATTCAAAATTGCACACGGTCTACATTGGTCTAAAGCCAGGCTTTCTAAGATAAATGCAGACATAGATCCCACATGTGAGCGATGCAAGCGGGTGCCAGCCACTCTGTTACATATGTTTAGGACATGCCCAAAACTCACATTTTGGCAAACCATCTTTGAGACTTTCTCTAAGATAGGGAAAACAGTGGAACCATCTCCAGTCATTGCACTGTTTGGTGTGGCCCCAGTAGAAGCCCCTCTTAATAGATGGGAAATCAACATGCTCACCTTCTACTCTCCTAGCCAGGAGACTGGTACTATTTCAATGGAAAGACCCTATCCCACCGTTGATAATACAACATTAAAGCGTATTAACAGTTCAACATTAAAAGCTAGAATTATGTCTGGGGGGCTGTCTTCCCACAGAATATTTTTAAGCATCAAACATCTTGGCTCTGTTTACACGACAGCAATTTCAGCTGAAAACTGTAAAAAAAAATGCGTTTTGGTTGATGGTTTGCAAATTTTGTTCTGATATGTTTTTTTTGTTTAAACTAAACTAGTAGTGCCTTAAATAATAAGATTTGTAACAACTGTAGGTATAATAAGCTAAAGCTTCAGCCTAAACCTTTTCCGTCAAAATGTTCTTCTTGTCTTTTCATGAATGCACATGCCTTTGAAAATTTTGTATTTCTTTTTTTATTCTTGCATTTCTATGCATTTCCTAATGGAAAACTGTATATGTTGACCGAAATAAATTACTACTACTACTACTACTACTACTACTACTACTACTATTACTATTACTACTGAATCAACAATGGAAGAAAGTAGTCAGAAAGTAGTCAGCTAACTACCGACAGCTGGCGCCTGTGGAAATCCCTGCTAGAATACGTCGGCATGCCAAAGCTTTTAATGAAAATGCTGAAACTAAGGCATGAGGGCATTGATTATGAAACTAAAACTATTTAAACGTAGGCTATATCGTACAAGATGTTGATGGAGAAAGAGGAAGAAAAACAGAAGACAGAGAACATTAAAGTACGCACAGAAACAAAAACAGAACATTTGATCAGAAAACCTGCTGCTTGCAGTATTGGCCTAACTCTCAGATCGACCAGTAAGATGATTGAAATCCACTGCAGTCTGCTAACACCAGGGACACTGGAAGTCTTTTTTAGTTGGGGGTGCTGAGAGAAGTAAATCTATTTGATGACGTCATACTAAGTGCGGCGCAAAATCCCATTTTATTTATAATTTTGTAAATTCAGTATCAACAGCAGCTCATACAGATTAAACAACATTTCAACAGACATCAACCCTCACACTGAAAGTTAAGGAGTGGCTTAGGACCAGTTTATAGTCCCTCTCAAGTATGGACCCACTGTTATCTAGAAATACAGGTTTTTTACATAATGAGGGAGAGAAAATGGTGATCTAATGTTTAGTAAATAAACCTTAAGTGCAGTTTTAATGAAAAGACTCCTACATTCAACACAACAGGTGAGCAGTGGAGCTGTGCAGCGTGTCTTTAGGCTAATTGGAAGAAGTCAGAAGTTGTTCTACCTCTGAATGCATGTACATCGATCAAGAAGCTTAAAATGGCTTTGAGTTGTATCACTCTGCAGGAGGTATTAAAAAACATGCATACTGTTTAGACTGTAGGCTACTTTGAATGCTGCCGACAGGCCAGTCTTGTGTTGCGGCGGCCGGCGACGCCCCCGGCGGCCAGCAGCCGCAGCAGCCAAGACACAAGACCGGCCTGTTGGCAGCAACCGTCTCGCCGCTATATTTATATTTTTTCGCCATTATCAGCTTTCTCCGTAGATCCTGTTAGCATAGCTTCCAAGCAATATGTCAGACAGTCAAATATTAAAATAAATCAGATCTCACCGTAGAGATGTTTATTATCTTCAGCTTCTTCATCATCATAGCCGTTTAGCATCTGGTTATGACCGATCCCCACGATCTTATTCTCCTGGTTCACTATACAGGCACCCACCTGCACACACAACACAGGTGCAACTGTTACAGACACTTTCTAGGTTAGTCTGAAAAAGACATTGTGTGTAGTGTGTATAAACGATACAGACTACACACTACTCACACACACAGAGCTGTAAATCACCAGTTTCATCATGATACCGTATTTCAATTCTTTGGATAACGATTACATTTTTACTGTCACACAAAGTCCATAAATAGTAATTAATAGATACAATCAATTTATCCCTCAGTCACACTACTTTAGTGAAGGGTAGAAAGCAAGGGGTTACCTTTTTTTTTATCTGTATAGGATCTTGTATGGCGATCGTATACAGATTTTAAAAAAATCATGGGCGTTAAATAAATGTGGGTGTTCTGTCCAGGTGTAATCTATGTGGTGGGATTTACAAATTATAGAAGTATCTTTAAAATGATGATGTTGATCGATTTGATCGCTGTCACCAATCAGTGTATTGATCCAGATTGATGGACACACACACACACACACACACACACACACACACACACACCTGAGTATCGGGGTCTTCACTCCTCTTTGCAGCCTGTACAGCCTCATCCATGTACTTGGAATCCTTCAGGTAGTCGTCTCTCCTTCGGGTCAAAACAGATGTATAAAATACAAGAGGACATGAATCACACAGTCTGGATCTGTACCTTTTAATTCAGCTTGTCTGTATACCAGACAATGATTTGTGACAAAATAACCTTAAAACAGTCATCTAAAAAACAGTCATCTCATGAGAAAAAGCTTATGTGAATCATTTCCAAGTAAAATCTTCAACATGTCTCCTCTCTAACAGGCACCAGGGGAGCAGCCTGCAGTTTAATTAGGTTAATATTATATAAGATATAGAATATCTGTTGCCAGCTCTCACTCTAAAATCGTACATCTTGGTGAAGAGATGTGCGCTATTACTTTTCTTGGTGATAAAATGTTACAGTGATTTTATCACTCAATGTGTAACACCGCTGCTCAGGCACTCTAATGGTCTGATTCCGGAGACTTACGGGGTATCTCATTTATGATGGAAACATGTTCCTGTGGTGGTTAGAATTTGTATTAAGTTGTTTTAAGATGGAGATTTCATACCATTTAACCCTCAGGTGGTGCTGCAGAAACAATAATACACACTTATCTTTTGTTAGCTTATCTTTTTAAACTTGATGAAAAACTTCTTTGACAAAATTTTCCAGAAATACTTGCATTTGGTTCTTATTGCTCCACCCTTTGGCTGCTTGTAATACACTTTTGGCTTTTAAGAGAAAGCTTAAATTGTATATTTAAGTTTAATATATAACAGAAAGGCTTTGTTGATGTTTTCATTTTTTCAAATCGAAACAATTTCTAGTATCTAGTAAAACTGGTTCTAAAACATTGCATAATGAACAGTAAAAAAACAAAACGTAAAAGTTCTATTAATAGCCAGGCTTTTATTAACTTCAGTCTAAGAAATGATCTTGCCTTTACTTGGGACAGGCGTCAATAAGAGAAAGGACTTTGATTATTTTCCATAAAAAGTTGTGCACACCGAAGTTTAGAAAGATTATAAAATTGTAAATTTAGAGCAGAAATAATATTCAACCGTATCAAATGCTGTGCTGGTCTATGTTGGTTTTTACCCGGGTGTAAGATCCATCCTTTTCCAGATCAAATCAAAGAGGTGAATCGATGTTGTCCCTGCTTCTCCTGCGATGTTGCTGTGTTTGAGTCAGACACTCAGCACTGTCTCTTATATATAGGTGCTATATCACGAGGTCATCATCTAGGCTATCATCGCTAGGTCACAGCGGGCTACTCACTAACAAAAAGACACTTTCTGTCTTTTCTCGGTCAAGAAGGCACCCACCTTCAAAATATATTTCACATTTCTACTACATATATGACCTAATGTCAATACAGATTCACGTTTCAACGGGTGAAGTATCCCTTTAACAAGTTGGCACAGGTGATGAAAGTTTAGAAAAGATTTGGTGCAACAAAAGAGGTCCATTACAAAGACAACATAAAAAAATAGTCCTCATGTATCTGAGTGTTGTTCTTTAAGTTAAGAAAGCAGAGTAGTTGACTTACCTGAGCTTAATTCCTGCCAGCTCCAGCATGCTTTTGGAGGCTTTAAACTCATCCCTGTCTTCGTACATATCAGAGAGATAAATCACTTCCTTTATACCTGGACAGAGGGAGGAAACAGGACTGTAAAATTTTGTTTTACTGTGTGGTGCAATCATATTTACAGGTACTTTAAAAATAAAAAAATGTTTTTAATGTTAACACACACCTCCCTGGATGATGAGCTTGGCACACTCGTTGCAGGGAAACAGAGTCACGTACATGCTGCATCCTTTCACATCCGCACCGTTAGTGTTCATGATGGCGTTCAGCTCTGCGTGGCACACTGAGAGACACACAAAAGAAGAAGACTTTAAACTTGCTGGTAAATCATTGCAAACAAGGACACGGATCGCTCTAGCTACAGGTCTTAAATTAAAGCTTTGGAGAGAAGCAGGAACAAAGTATGGGAACATTATCTCCTGAAGAAGAAGAAAAATATGATAAAAGATTCTTTAGGAGACAGTTTTACAATGAAATCTAATACGTCAACAAAACTTAAGACCTGCAAACTCACTTTAATATGTGACTCAAATGATTTTACAGCCTTTCTCTTTCAAACAAGTGAGAACAAAGTTTAAGCAAACTGCGAGTAAGACTCAGAAATAGTTATATAATCTGTAAACTGTTTGAATTGACTTTAAAATGTGTTGTCTGAATTACTCAACAAACGTGTTTAGATCTTCTGAGGGATAAAGGAGAAACAGACTTGGATGAACCAATTTCAGAAGCAGTTTGGCACAAAATAATAGTCAATTTTCTCCCCTTCTATATGTCTTAGACATGCTGTTATTAAATTCAAAATTGCACACGGTCTACATTGGTCTAAAGCCAGGCTTTCTAAGATAAATGCAGACATAGATCCCACATGTGAGCGATGCAAGCGGGTGCCAGCCACTCTGTTACATATGTTTAGGACATGCCCAAAACTCACATTTTGGCAAACCATCTTTGAGACTTTCTCTAAAGTGGAACCATCTCCAGTCATTGCACTGTTTGGTGTGGCCCCAGTAGAAGCCCCTCTTAATAGATGGGAAATCAACATGCTCACCTTCTACTCTCCTAGCCAGGAGACTGGTACTATTTTAATGGAAAGACCCTATCCCACCGTTGATAATACAACATTAAAGCGTATTAACAGTTCAACATTAAAAGCTAGAATTATGTCTGGGGGGCTGTCTTCCCACAGAATATTTTTAAGCATCAAACATCTTGGCTCTGTTTACACGACAACAATTTCAGCTGAAAACGATACATTTTTGTTGCGTTTTTGGTTGATGGTTTGCAAATTTTGTTCTGATATTGTTTTTTTTAAAACTAAACTAGTAGTGCCTTAAATAATAAGATTTGTAACAACTGTAGGTATAATAAGCTAAAGCTTCAGCCTAAACCTTTTCCGTCAAAATGTTCTTCTTGTCTTTTCATGAATGCACATGCCTTTGAAAATTTTGTATTTCTTTTTTTATTCTTGCATTTCTATGCATTTCCTAATGGAAAACTGTGTATGTTGACCGAAATAAATTACTACTACTACTACTACTACTACTACTACTACTATTACTACTGAATCAACAATGGAAGAAAGTAGTCAGAAAGTAGTCAGCTAACTACCGACAGCTGGCGCCTGTGGAAATCCCTGCTAGAATACGTCGGCATGCCAAAGCTTTTAATGAAAATGCTGAAACTAAGGCATGAGGGCATTGATTATGAAACTAAAACTATTTAAACGTAGGCTATATCGTACAAGATGTTGATGGAGAAAGAGGAAGAAAAACAGGAGACAGAGAACATTAAAGTACGCACAGAAACAAAAACAGAACATTTGATCAGAAAACCTGCTGCTTGCAGTATTGGCCTAACTCTCAGATCGACCAGTAAGATGATTGAAATCCACTGCAGTCTGCTAACACCAGGGACACTGGAAGTCTTTTTTAGTTGGGGGTGCTGAGAGAAGTAAATCTATTTGATGACGTCATACTAAGTGCGGCGCAAAATCCCATTTTATTTATAATTTTGTAAATTCAGTATCAACAGCAGCTCATACAGATTAAACAACATTTCAACAGACATCAACCCTCACACTGAAAGTTAAGGAGTGGCTTAGGACCAGTTTATAGTCCCTCTCAAGTATGGACCCACTGTTATCTAGAAATACAGGTTTTTTACATAATGAGGGAGAGAAAATGGTGATCTAATGTTTAGTAAATAAACCTTAAGTGCAGTTTTAATGAAAAGACTCCTACATTCAAAACAACAGGTGAGCAGTGGAGCTGTGCAGTGTGTCTTTAGGCTAATTGGAAGAAGTCAGAAGTTGTTCTACCTCTGAATGCATGTACATCGATCAAGAAGCTTAAAATGGCTTTGAGTTGTATCACTCTGCAGGAGGTATTAAAAAACATGCATACTGTTTAGGCTGTAGGCTACTTTGAATGCTGCCGACAGGCCAGTCTTGTGTTGCGGCGGCCGGCGACGCCCCCGGCGGCCAGCAGCCGCAGCAGCCAAGACACAAGACCGGCCTGTTGGCAGCAACCGTCTCGCCGCTATATTTATATTTTTTCGCCATTATCAGCTTTCTCCGTAGATCCTGTTAGCATAGCTTCCAAGCAATATGTCAGACAGTCAAATATTAAAATAAATCAGATCTCACCGTAGAGATGTTTATTATCTTTAGTTCTATCGCGGGCCCATGTCAGCTTACCATCACAGCCGTTTGGCATCTGGTTATGACCGATCCCCACGATCTTATTCTCCTGGTTCACTATACAGGCGCCCACCTGCACACACAACACAGGTGCAACTGTTACAGACACTTTCAAGGTTAGTCTGAAAAAGACATTGTGTGTAGTGTGTATAAACGATAGAGACTACACACTACTCACACACACAGAGCTGTAAATCACCAGTTTCATCATGATACCGTATTTCAATTCTTTGGATAACGATTACATTTTTACTGTCACACAAAGTCCACAAATAGTAATTAATAGATACAATCAATTTATCCCTCAGTCACACTACTTTAGTGAAGGGTAGAAAGCAAGGGGTTACCTTTTTTTTTTATCTGTATAGGATCTTGTATGGCGATACAGATTTTAAAAAAATCATGGGCGTTAAATAAATGTGGGTGTTCTGTCCAGGTGTAATCTATGTGGTGGGTTTACAAATTATAGAAGTATCTTTAAAATGATGATGTTGATCGATTTGATCGCTGTCAAACCAATCAGTGTATTGATCCAGATTGATGGATAGTTACACACACACACACACACACACACACACACACACACACACACACACACACACACACACACACACACACACACACACACACACACACACACACCTGAGTATTGGGGTCTTCACTCCTCTTTGCAGCCAGTAAAGCCACAGCCATGAAGTACTTGGAATCCTTCAGGTAGTCGTCTCTCCTTCGGGTCAAAACAGATGTATAAAATACAAGAGGACATGAATCACACAGTCTGGATCTGTACCTTTTAATTCAGCTTGTCTGTATACCAGACAATGATTTGTGACAAAATAACCTTAAAACAGTCATCTAAAAAACAGTCATCTCATGAGAAAAAGCTTATGAGAATCATTTCCAGTAAAATCTTGTACATGTCTCCTCTCTAACAGGCACCAGGGGAGCAGCCTGCAGTTTAATTAGGTTAATATTATATAAGATATAGAATAAAATCTAAAATCGTACATCTTGGTGAAGAGATGTGCGCTATTACTTTTCTTGGTGATAAAATGTTACAGTGATTTTATCACTCAATGTGTAACACCGCTGCTCAGGCACTCTAATGGTCTGATTCCGGAGACTTACGGGGTATCTCATTTATGATGGAAACATGTTCCTGTGGTGGTTAGAATTTGTATTAAGTTATTTTAAGATGGAGATTTCATACCATTTAACCCTCAGGTGGTGCTGCAGAAACAATAATACACACTTATCTTTTGTTAGCGTATCTTTTTAAACTTGATGAAAAACTTCTTTGACAAAATTTTCCAGAAATACTTGCATTTGGTTCTTATTGCTCCACCCTTTGGCTGCTTGTAATACACTTTTGGCTTTTAAGAGAAAGCTTAAATTGTATATTTAAGTTTAATATATAACAGAAAGGCTTTGTTGATGTTTTCATTTTTTCAAATCGAAACAATTTCTAGTATCTAGTAAAACTGGTTCTAAAACATTGCATAATGAACAGTAAAAAAACAAAACATAAAAGTTCTATTAATAGCCAGGCTTTTATTAACTTCAGTCTATGAAATGATCCTGCCTTTACTTGGGACAGGCGTCAATAAGAGACAGGACTTTGATTATTTTCCATAAAAAGTTGTGCACACCGAAGTTTAGAAAGATTATAAAATTGTAAATTTAGAGCAGAAATAATATTCAACCGTATCAAATGCTGTGCTGGTCTATGCTGGTTTTTACCCGGGTGTAAGAGCCATCCTTTTCCAGATCAAATCAAAGAGGTGAATCGATGTTGTCCCTGCTCCTCCTGCGATGTTGCTGTGTTTGAGTCAGACACTCAGCACTGTCTCTTATATATAGGTGCTATATCACTAGGTCATCATCTAGGCTATCATCGCTAGGTCACAGCGGGCGGAGTCTCAAGCGAGTGGATGCCAATAGTTAAACTGGAACTGTGAGTATTCCAGTTTCTGAGTTTTATATCCCTGATGTTCCTAGATGCCACAGGGCTAAAATAAAAAGTATATGTAAGGCGAAAATTGTGAATAAATGTGTGTCATTGACTATTTGAAGAGCCACAGTTACCTCAATGTTTGTCAATGTTTGTCAATGGGCTTGAATTAAAATAAAGAATGCCCCCTTTAAAATGATACCAAACACACGAAAACTGTATGTTGACCGTAATGAATTACTACTACTACTGAATCAACAATGGAAGAAAGTAGTCGGCTAAGTGAGTAGTCAAGACAATAAACCCAACAATAATCCTCTTCGCTGATGTTGATTGAATTAAGTTAAAAATGTTTGGGGGAAAAAATAGCTGAAATTATTATGTAAGATTTGACACAACTATCAACAAAAATGGTCACAGTTTTACTTTGTCATTAAGCCAGCACCAGGTGTGGTTCATCTGGGTGTGTTTGTCAAACAGAAATGCTTTGTTTATTTGTTCAACGCCCTATTATTAACATTGTTCACGCAAAAGAAATCTGGGCTCTGTACAATCTGGGCAGGGCAGGTTGGTAAACACTGAAAATCAGTATGTAAATTAGCAATGCCTACATCCTCCTCTGTGACATCAGCTAGGCAAAACAAGTGAAGCCCATGACACACAAGGGCCCTTTTTCAAACCATCCCCTACACACTCCCCCTCCATGACGGAGTGCACTCCGTTAGAAGTCACACTCTCAGCCTAATGAAGTCCCCTTCATCAAGGTGTAGTGTAGAAATACAGCGGCAGGCTTTGGGACAAACTTCCCTCTCTCAGGTGGAAACAGGAACTGTATGTTACCATGGTTACTCAGCGGTATCTTTCGGGAACAGCTTTTTTTTTGTAGCTAATGCATTCTGTAAAAATATTTATGTAGCCTAGATTATTATTGTTCTTTAGTTATATTAGTGTAGACTTACAACAAAACTATTAGATTGAGCCTACATTGTTTACTGTAATTTATCATTTCAGTTAATTTAATGTAATTTTTAGAACAGGGTGTCCTAAATTAATGCAAAGAGAAGGATAATATTGTTGAACATCAGAGCAGCAAAAAGTGTATTTTTTTGTTGTTGAATTGAGATTTCACAAAGACATCAAAAGTAGAAAAATAAGAAATAAATATTAACAGCGAAAAGTTGTCTGCAACATGATTTAATATTCTTTTGTTTTTGCAACAGTCCCTGTAAATATAAAACACTTTACAATAAATAAACATATATTTGATCCTCAATACACATTTGAAGTTGTTAACGTCTGTATGACGATATTAAATGTCTATCTTAGTTGGAGCAGTGTTTATAGACACTTGAACTCACAGGTTGCTTCATCCATGATGACCGGACACAATAGGTGTTGCACGTGATCCGAAAGTTGGCATCGGTGCACACTCGCTGGTGGAGGGTTTTATAACCTACTACCACTCCCCGCTAATCGGTTTGGGACGGACTTAATATGGCGGACCCTCCCCCGGGGACGCGCAAACGGAGGGGTAGTGGGTAGAGGTAGGGTGTAGTGGCCGGTTTGAAAAAGGGTCAAGGACTTTTTAGATGAACTGACAGCCCAGTTATGAGGGACAGACAAGGACGGGTGTTCCCAGCAACAGCAGCAGGAGCTATGACCATCTTCCTGTTGCCATCGCAGTACCCACAGATCCAAGCAAGACACAAGGGTGAAAAAAGTGTCCGGCTGCAGCCTTGAGGACGGAAAGACAAACCTGACACAGTGGAAGTGAAATGCCTGTGACTTAGGACTCTGCCTTAGTGGATATGAACTGCTTTGAGCAGTGCCATATCTAGTGCACAAACACACACACAGGTTTCCTTGCTAGTCAGAAGCTATTGAATGCACCTGTGATGCTCTCCACAACTGATGGCTGTTGACATTCAGCTGGGCTGGGAGGCTTTATAGGGAGGTGGAATGCTTCTTTGTTCGAGTGGTTGAGTGTATCAAGAGAGTCAACACCATCAGTTGGCTTTCTGTGATTTTGTTTTTGAATGAATCTCTCATTTTGAGTGTGTGTTTTGAAAACACCTTTTTCTTTTGACCATTTTTTGACTCCCTCTGTTGACTCCTACTGATCTTTTGTTTCAAACTCCAATTCTATGTTTGTCTATCATTTTGATAGAATTAGTGGGGGTTTGAAGGGCTATGCTCTTCTTCCACCTGAAAGAAACCACAGGCCCACTTACGTGGTACCTTTTTGTAAATGTGCAGTGTTTTGTTTACTGGGGGAACATAACACAAATGTCCTTTTATATATTTCCATTTATTATTTGTGTTATTATGATTTTTATTTTAGTTTTGAGTAGTGGCAGTTTTTTTTTATGTACTTTTTATATTTCAATTTGGTATTCATTTTAAGTAAATTTTTATCAATTCAAAACGGTTCGTTCTGCAATCTGTGTTTTTAGAATAATGATTTTCTCAAAACAAATTCTATATTTTTGTTTGGGTCCTGCGTGTTGATACATTATCTCTAGGTGACTAATGAACGGTCAGATGATAAAGGTGAGGTTGTGCTGAAAAAAATGATACCAGGCACTTGTATGGTAAACCTTTTTGATGTAGTATAGCCTACATAAGTAAAATGACAATTATAGCAAAACGGCCCAAAATAGCCTCAGACCTCAAAGGGTTCATGTCCAACCGCCTAGGAACCAAGGAAAATGATGTAATACATTGCCAAACTTAACATGTGTATTTGATCTTGGCACAAATAATGATCTAGGTATTTTAATGCATTCCTTGACCCAGAAAATGTATATATTGACACCAAGATTTACTTTTTAAGTGGCTTGGAAGACATATTGGTGCTGCCATCTTGAAACCACCATCTTGATGAAGTGGCTCCCCCCAAAAAATTGAAAGCTATTGTGATGGAGACTATGTGAAAAAAATGTGGTGCTTTTGTCCAGCGTGTCCCCATTCTTCCCAAATCTGGTCCTAAGCCGCCTGATTAAAGATATCAGTACACTTGTATTAGACATGCACTGTAAATACTAATGGAATAAGCCTGACTGATGTCACCCATCTGTTCCTGCAGGGGGTTCTGGAGACTCATCAGCAGCAGCCACCATGCTGTAAAATCCTGTCTCAACCTCACTTTCAGTCATCACGGAACAATGTATGCAATTTTGCCATGGAAAATTACCATAAGGAATATAAGAGAGGAAATGATCTTCTTAAGCAGATCTGACTTTTATTTTGTATTTGATATACTTTATAAATTCAGATTTGATACTTTATTATTGAGAGACATGCTTCTCACACACATGGACATGCATTAACAGAGAGATGATACACACTGAGCGCACTAGAGCAGTTGGTGGTTCGGTGCCCTGGTACCTACCTACCAGACCAACTTCTTTATTAATTATCCACACCTGGACTTGAAGCGGCGCCCCTCCGGTTCCCAACCCAAGTCCCTATGGACTGAGCTACTGCCGCCTACATAACTCAGAGATTAAGTAAGTTAGAAGACCTCCTTTAAAAAAACATCAAGGTGGGGTTCTAAAAGCACCTGCGAGGTGAGGGTCACAATTCAATATGTGCCAATGTTTTCTCACTCATTTTTAATAGACTGAGAAATAGGACCGTGTGTAGGTACAAATGCCACTGAAGAGTTGTCCATGGAGCTGGGATTGACTTAAATCAGATTGCTCAACCTGTTGCAGATGATTGTCAAGTAATATCCTCTCAGTTTAAAAGCATCACAAAGACTTGGGCGCTGGATGGCCTAGTGGTTATGTCACATGCCCTCGTCGCAGTGGCTGTTTGTTCAAATCCGTACCTTGGCCCATTGCTGCATGTCATCCCCCCACTCTCTTCTCCCAACATTTCCTGTCTCTCTTCAGCTGTCCTATCCAAGAAAGGCAAAAATGGGCCAATAAAAATATAACAAAAAGGAATGAAAGCATCACAAAGACTTTTAGAATGAAATGAAAAGCTCATTTAAATGATTACCTTTTATATATTTAAAAAGCCTATTTTGCTTTGCCTTCCCTCAAGTAGTGCAGATTTGTGTCCAGCCGCGTGTTATTCCCCGCTCTCTCTCTCCAACTACAACAAAGTGTTTCTGTAAATACGTCCTCTTTTATCGGATTTCCTCCCATTCTCTAAAACATGAAGTCAGGGATCAGTCATCTTGAACATGTTACTGTTCAATATGTCAATCATTTTTCAGAAATGGAAGACGGAACAAATAGATTTTTCATTGAAAGAAAACAACCTGAACTAAATCATCCTGTTTACACGATGAAAGGAGAAACACATTTTAACAAGCTGCAGTTTAAAGAGTGAGGACTAAAACAATACAGCAAAAACAATATTTGTTCTTTAGAAGTTAGAATCACGTTTGTCCAGTGTATTACCAAGTTTATAATCATAAAACACCAAAAACAGGCGGATGGATACATTTACAATGGATACAATGATTATTTATATTAGGTTATTTGCAGTCTGTTGTAGAGGATTCAGAGTTCTTCAGCAGGCTGGAGGTGCTCTTCATCCTACACACACACACACACACACACACACACATACACACACACACACACACACCTTGTGTCAGAAACTATATGGACAACTTTATAAACCTGTTTTTTTGTGATATCATGATTTATTTATTTTTATATTATTGATTTTCTCCTCATCCAGAGGCTCTCCCTGAGGTTTTGTAGAAAAGAAAAGACTAAGTATGTAGAAATTAAAAGGATTGTACATGTTTGTTATCCTCTCCAGCCTCTCTTTCAGATCCTCCTGGATATTAACAGACAACAAAAGAAAGGAGGTTAAAACATTAAACTCCCAAACTTAGCATTTTCAATGTGGACTATAGAAAGTTTCACCGCGGTTAAATAAAAAGCCTCAAAGTGTTACACACGCAAAGATAACACGTTTCCTTTCTTAACAATTGGTTACATAAATCAGACACATTTATCTGTTAGTCCAATAGTCAAACACAGCGTTATGTGTTACAGAAAAAAAACACAAGCTCAAGTTTGTTTCATGATGAATCATGATAATAACATTTGTATAATCTGTTTGAAGAAGATGTAGCCGTTATCAGCAGCCACGTAACCTTCATAATTATACATTTAGATGTGTTATAAAGCATACTCTTTGATATTAGCTATAGAAGGTGTTATTTAAAGACACCAATTTCTTTTCCTACTTTATTAATATGTCTTATTAAGAATGCTGACTGTAGAACATGTTTTTGTTCACCTACAGGCTGGGATTAATTGAGGATGTTCCCAGGTGGTGTGATTTTCATCTCAACATGAATCTGATAGAAATGTTTGTCTAAATATATGACGTGAACCTACATCAACGTGGATCTGATAGAAATAATATCGAAATGAATGTATGGTGACGTATATATGTTTGGATTCTTATTCTTAATCTTATTGAGTAAACTCGGTTTAGTTTGAACAATTGTCCTCCGGTCAGAATGGGAGTCACCCGTGGGCGGCACCCCTCTTTGCCTGCAGACCCCCCTCCTCTCAGCCAGCAGATAAGAGTTCACACTGAGCTCAGATCTTTGGGTTCTTTTTAGTTTTGGTTTCTTGAAGTTTAGAGCTTCAGCGCTTGCTCGCTTCTCTTCGGACTTCGGTCCGAATCACTTCTTTTAAGTTTGTGCCGTAGAGACGAGTCTCTGCCGAACTTTCTTTTTCACGCACAATTTTTGGAACATCAATTCTTTCTGGCTCAAGCAAGGTTTTTGAACTTTCTTCTCCAAAGTCTTTGCTCTTCAATTTTGAAAGCCAATTCCTTAATTTGGATTCATCAAGATGGCCATCCGGTTAATCTGAATTGGAAATTGACGCATCAAAAGACTCTTTCATATTTTTCCTGTTGGATCCTCTTGGAGCTTCTGAGACGACAGCTGAACCGACGTACAATCTCCATCCCAGCTGCACACTCCGACTAAGGTGTCAAGGCATCTAATCTGGCCCGTGGACCTCTCTGGGCCTGAAAAGAACCGCTTGCCAGAGACTGAAGCGTGGGACCAGCCGGCCGAGTTCAATTGAACACATCTCACAGTAAGACTGCTGGTGGCAAGGGGTGTTGGAAGATTGAGTCTTGAGTCGTGTCTATTCAGAGCCCTCCTTTAAATCCAAATAGAATCCCAAAATACCTTTATCAACTTTTTCTTTTTGACCATTTTCTGATTAAGTCATTCAAACAATACCGCGTCTTATCTCATTACTAAATATATAATGTCACCATACATTAGAATTGCATTATCCTGATCATAATAATCATATTCTTTATCTGTTTCATCTATACATTATTGTTTACCCCTTTTTATATTAAATTTTACACATAAAATTCAGGACTTTGTGTGTTTTCTGGTTTAACATTTCCAGAACTTACTTCTTTCAAGATATGAAACTGACTGATTAATTAATTAACTTATACCATTAAAGTTAATTTCTTCCTTTAACAGGAAGTGATGCCCCTTCTTAAATCCGGGTTAAATAAAGATATAAAATCATAATCATTTAATTACGCTACAAAGAAGACAAAATCAGAAGCTTGAACAAATACTGAATGACATTTGATAATTTAGTAAGCATGACTAATCTGACATAGCAAACTTACTGCCAAATTTGCATGTTGTTGATCGGACAGGATGTCATGAAATGATTGGACAGTCGGAGAGCAGAGTGTTCAGCTCACCTTTGAGGCATCAGACATGTTGGAGAAGGCGGAGGACGAGGACGCACACGGCGGTGGGACACTGAGCTGAGAGAGACAGGAGATCAGTCTGAGAAATGGATCAGTGCTAGAATAAGCTTCACTACATTTGTAACATTTGACGTTTCTACATATAATCTGAGTTTACAGCTGGGTATGTGTGATGAAGAAGCTCCTCCATGTTTCTCTGTTCCTCACTAACATGTACTTTTCATTAAACTGGGTTTGTCCCATTCAGGGCAGAAATGGCGTTTTGTTATTAGCTCGATGTGACGTCTCTTTCTAACAAACAGGAGGTGAGCTGAATGTACTGTGGGTGGTGCTGCAGTGGGCCAGGGGGGATTTAGAGTTTTCATTTTCACTTTTGATTTCTCCCTCTGAAAACAGAATACTAATGACAAATTCTCAAAAATAGAAACAAGAAGGTCAGGACATCTTTTCAGACAAACCTAGAGGGAATCTTCTGGAGACTATTGTTGGGGTTGTATCAAGTCAACTTTGGTTATATTCTTTAATAATTATACTTAATTATTAATAATATAAATAAAATATCATTAAACTATGTTTAATCTCGTTTTGGGGCACCAACCTGTAATCAGGTAAATATAACCAAAATATCACTCAAATCAGTCTCAAATTAGTTATTTAATTACTAATATTATTAATAATGAATAACTATATTTAATAAATTGAAGGCGTGAAATCCGTACACAAAGCCTTCACACCCAGCTTATATCACAATGCAAATACACCAGTAATCACAAACAACTGCTCTCTTAAATTATAACAGAATTTATTTAAACAAAGCAACATCAACCCAAAATCAATGAACTCAATTAAACAAATAACTATTATAAACTAATCTAAGCAACAAACATTATCAAGCAAAGGCTTGTGGATGAGGTGTAAATGTGTGTGTGTGCAGATGAGTATGTATGTAGATGTGTGAGAGAGAGAGAGAGAGAACAAGATGGTGGAGAGAGACAATGCACCATGTGGCTTCGTCACATGGTGACAAAAATGGTGGACAACAAAGGAAGCCATGTGGCTACCTTTTGAAATAGTTTGAGCTCTCTGAGCTGAGTTCAGTAACTGTTACTTAAACACCAGAAAGCCAGTGGCCGGACTTTGATTCAACGGCGGGTACACTGGTCTTTCTGATTGTGAAAGCCGTTGACTGAAGGTAAACTAGCATAGCATTAAACACATAGACGAACACAGCAGTTCATTACAATAAAACAAATGCAGTAGCTTACAACAGATAATATACAGAATGTGACGTGTCGTCAACAATGATGCATAATTATCAGTGGTTATAAAAGAAACATAACTATTTCTGAAACTATTTCTGCCCAGACCAAAGCTCTTACTTGGGGTAACTCCTGGTGATCGTTGCAAAGTTGGTTAGATCGTCACTCTGTTGAATGTTAAATCAACAGATTCAGGCAGGTTTCCTTCGTGGCAGATGTAGGAGGAGGGTAGCGGGATTCAGATCTTCGACCAGAGCGCTGCTCTATAGGGTCTTCTGGTTGCAGGAGCCGAGTTCTTTATGTGTCCTTGTGGATTCAGGGATCAGTGGGCTTCCTTCAGCGCTCCTGTCCAGTTGCGTTCAATGACGTCTTACGAAAAATCAAAGGAAAGAAACTCTTCTTTTTGCTCGAACCTGATAGCATCTGATTGCGCCCAAAACTCCTAAAAATATGCAGTGGAAGTAGTCAGCTGAATCCTCTGATGCTTGAATTCAGCATGTGAAGAGCTACCTATACTGAGCAACCTCAGCTCTGGAGTTTAACCTATGTAAGTCAAGAGGAGGAAAGGCTTTGTCTCGAATGCTGGAGTCCATCATATGGAGAGGGTATCCTCTGGTGTCGGCAGACCACACTTGAAGAGAAGGAAGCAATGCCTGGTGATTGCTTTTAAAGACTGGGTTTACCTCAGGCCTCCTCCAATGCGGATAGAGAATTCAAACACCCCCCCCACTTTTCACACCTATTTGTTGGTTTCTGTTGGGGGGTTGCTGACCCCTTTGTTCAGTTCCCTCCAAAATACTCTAGTCAGGCTTGAGAACTGTGATACAGGCCTGAGTCGCTTGTCCCATGCACATGGCTGAGGCCCAACATCCCCCCTTGTCATGAAGAGCGAAATGCAGGTTACAATCTTCAGGGCAGCTCACGGACCAAACAGTCCATGTGTCTGGGATGGAGACACATCCCAGTTTTGCAGTTCCTTAGGGAAGCAGTCCATAGGGTTAACAGTTCAGAGATATTAGAGGCATTTTGGTCTGGGCAGACACTGAGGCAAAGTCTGGGCAGACTGTCTAAGTATGTCTAACGCTAGGCATAAAACGTAAACAGGCATTAGCAAAGCTTTACTACTCAAGGTGCATTCTTTAACAAAACAAATGAAACAAACAAGCAAGAGGGGGAGAGAAAGAGAAGGTGTAGATTTGTGGGCTAACTACTAGCCTGGGCAGCAGTAAACCTTTGGGACAGTGTATGTGGCATGTAGTTGTGTAAATGTGTATGTATTTTATGTGTCTCACTACCACTGTCAAGTCATAAATCAGAGACTAGAAAGCATTAACGCTGAGTGACTTTGGTGGGTTTTACAGTGGAGGCTACTCCCCCCTCCCCACTGTGGAGTCAGAACCTTGTTCTTTGTAAGGGCTGGAGGCTTCCAACTGTCTAATCACCTCTGTCACACACCTCCGGATCATGTTCTCCATTCCCCCATCAGAACCTGCTTCCTTAGGAAGTTCATGGGAACTCTGATTATGCCTACCCCTCTGTCTGGGGCTTCGGCTATCCCGAGAGTTCTGTTCGGGTCTGGTGGTGATCAGTACTTCAGGTTGGGAACTACCCTGTGGCTGGCTCCTTCCTTCACCCCCCTGGTTCTGTTGTCTATTCTGCCAGTGATGCGGTTTCTTAGATTTATTCATAGCATAAGGCAATTTGTTGCCTTCTAGTGCTAGGTCACTATTGTGTTTCCAAAACCCAGGACGTATGCGTGTTTCCCAAGCCACCTGTGCAAATTTCTTGATTTCTGGCATACCAAGCTGATGTGTTCGGCAATGCATGGTGACATCGTAACGCACACAGCCATGCAGATTGTGCAGGAATAAGGACTTGAAAGTCTGGTCCTCTTCCAAACCTGGAGCATTACGTCCCTGGAAATATGCAGATTTTAGGCGCCGGTAATAATCTTTGGGTGCCTCATGCTTCTGGTGCCAGACACTAAAGGCTCTAAGAGGGGCAGATACAGGGTCGGTGTTGGTGGAGAATTCCTCGCACAAAGCGTTGCAGAGTGCTGAGTACTGGTCTCTGATCTCAGGCAGGAGGGTAGTCATGAAGTCATGGACACTCCTGGAAGTTGTCTTCCAGATCAGCTTGAGTTTTTCTCGTGTGGATGCATCAGGTAGATCACAGAGGCGCAGGTTGATCTCTCTGAGGTAATCATCAATGCTGAAATGTGGGTTACCTGGGTCAAACCGGTCTACATCCTCCGCCAGGGATTCAATGAGCCTTATGCGCATTCTTTGATCTCTGGGTGGACAGGAGCCATCCGATTCATCTGATGTTTCGGAACTTCTCAGCTGTGGACCATGCGGTGTGGACTTGCAGGTAGCAGGAGGGGGGTTGATGTTATCTCTGCCTCTGGGGGCTGAGAAGTCACCCCCCCTCCCTATGTGGTGATTCAAACCTGCGAAGGTGTGAATTTTCTGCCAACAGGGATTGGATGTGGTTCTGCAGGGCTTCTTTTTCTACTTGCAGCTGGGTTTGCTGCAGGAAGGACTTGCGTTGGGAAAGAAGGAGGAGTTGCCCAAGAACATTCAGGATTATGCTTTGGGGTTTCCTGGCTCGGTGGTTGGCCTGATCAACGAGCTCCTTTAACTTCTTCTCACAAATGCTAATTGAATAGCTATTTAGGTCGGCTATCTCCTCTAAGGAGAGGTGCGTCAGACTGGCAACCGTTTCTTGCAGTGCTGCGTCGTCTGATCCAAAAGGAGTCTCAGCTCCCGGCTCACCTAGGGTCTTGGTACACATTTTACGTGATAAAATGGAACCAAAGTGGATTACTGTTAACAAAACCGCTAAGCTAAACAAAGCTAGATCGACACCAGAGCAAATCTTATCTAGGTTTCCCAACTGATCACTGCAGGCTATCCTGGAAGCTAGGAGAGGGGATTCACACCTCAAGTCCTCACAGGAAGGGAGGAACTCACACCTCTCAGACAGCTGGCTATGCAACAATGATGAGGTTACACTCTCATCTGGCCAAATGGCTCTCAAACAACAAGGAGCACCACAATCCTTTAGTAGAATGCTTCAGGATCAAAATCTAGATTAATGCAACAAATCAAGTTCCTTGATAAAGTCACACTAGCTGCATCATTATGTTCAATTGTTTTATGGACCCAAAGGGGACAACAGTTATGGCTTTAACCATTAACTAACAACATACAACACAACTAAGCCACAGCTCGATGTCTGCTTTGCTTAAACCACAAAAATTTAAAGAAAATATCATTTTCTTCAGAAGGATCCTTTTTAGGATTTAAGTTTGGATTACTGTGCATTTACAGTGCAACAAAGCTGGTTTATTGAAGGCCTCACACGGGGCACCATTTGTTGGGGTTGTATCAAGTCAACTTTGGTTATATTCTTTAATAATTATACTTAATTATTAATAATATAAATAAAATATCATTAAACTATGTTTAATCTTGTTTTGGGGCACCAACCTGTAATCAGGTAAATATAACCAAAATATCACTCAAATCAGTCTCAAATTAGTTATTTAATTACTAATATTATTAATAATGAATAACTATATTTAATAAATTGAAGGCGTGAAATCCGTACACAAAGCCTTCACACCCAGCTTATATCACAATGCAAATACACCAGTAATCACAAACAACTGCTCTCTTAAATTATAACAGAATTTATTTAAACAAAGCAACATCAACCCAAAATCAACGAACTCAATTAAACAAATAACTATTATAAACTAATCTAAGCAACAAACATTATCAAGCAAAGGCTTGTGGATGAGGTGTAAATGTGTGTGTGTGCAGATGAGTATGTATGTAGATGTGAGAGAAAGAGAGAACAAGATGGTGGAGAGAGACAATGCACCATGTGGCTTCGTCACATGGTGACAAAAATGGTGGACAACAAAGGAAGCCATGTGGCTACCTTTTGAAATAGTTTGAGCTCTCTGAGCTGAGTTCAGTAACTGTTACTTAAACACCAGAAAGCCAGTGGCCGGACTTTGATTCAACGGCGGGTACACTGGTCTTTCTGATTGTGAAAGCCGTTGACTGAAGGTAAACTAGCATAGCATTAAACACATAGACGAACACAGCAGTTCATTACAATAAAACAAATGCAGTAGCTTACAACAGATAATATACAGAATGTGACGTGTCGTCAACAATGATGCATAATTATCAGTGGTTATAAAAGAAACATAACTATTTCTGAAACTATTTCTGCCCAGACCAAAGCTCTTACTTGGGGTAACTCCTGGTGATCGTTGCAAAGTTGGTTAGATCGTCACTCTGTTGAATGTTAAATCAACAGATTCAGGCAGGTTTCCTTCGTGGCAGATGTAGGAGGAGGGTAGCGGGATTCAGATCTTCGACCAGAGCGCTGCTCTATAGGGTCTTCTGGTTGCAGGAGCCGAGTTCTTTGTGTCCTTGTGGATTCAGGGATCAGTGGGCTTCCTTCAGCGCTCCTGTCCAGTTGCGTTCAATGACGTCTTACGAAAAATCAAAGGAAAGAAACTCTTCTTTTTGCTCAAACCTGATAGCATCTGATTGCGCCCAAAACTCCTAAAAATATGCAGTGGAAGTAATCAGCTGAATCCTCTGATGCTTGAATTCAGCATGTGAAGAGCTACCTATACTGAGCAACCTCAGCTCTGGAGTTTAACCTATGTAAGTCAAGAGGAGGAAAGGCTTTGTCTCGAATGCTGGAGTCCATCATATGGAGAGGGTATCCTCTGGTGTCGGCAGACCACACTTGAAGAGAAGGAAGCAATGCCTGGTGATTGCTTTAAAAGACTGGAGCTGCCTGTGGGTTTACCTCAGGCCTCCTCCAATGCGGATAGAGAATTCAAACACCCCCCCCACTTTTCACACCTATTTGTTGGTTTCTGTTGGGGGGTTGCTGGGCTAAGACCCCTTTGTTCAGTTCCCTCCAAAATACTCTAGTCAGGCTTGAGAACTGTGATACAGGCCTGAGTCGCTTGTCCCATGCACATGGCTGAGGCCCAACACTATTTAATCAGGGTAAAGGAAAGGGTTGACTTATAATTCTGCATTGACTCTACGTCGTAGTGGTCTATGCTGTCATGAACACTACATACTTGTGTGTTGGTGTGTCTGCATAGTTCTGCAATACTTCACCTACAAACGCCAGCTACCGTTCCACCACATTGTCTGCTTGCAGGACACTGTGTATCGTCTCATGATGAACTTTGAATGCTCACACATCTCACACCCACACACATATTATTATTATTAGTGTGGATTATGCAACAAATAGATACTTTTATTAACGTATGGCGATGAAAATGTCCAACCCTGTAGGAGAGTGTTGAAATAATTTTCCAGGACAACATGTGATTTTCCAGGGCATTTGACTTTTTCTCTGATTTTCCAGTACTGGAAAATTAGTCAACTGTTTTCCAGGTTTTCCAGGACGGGTGGGAACCCTTCCCTTAGTTTTGTGTTTCATGCAGACACTTTCTTTGAGACAAACGGGGGGGAAAGGTGTGTAATCACCTCCCTCTTCTCTGCTCAGAGTATAAATATCACCATCTTGGTGCATCTTGTGCTGGTTGGGTTAAAGAGGTTTTTGTATTGTCTTTTTTTCTGTTTGGATTCTTTTTGCTTTGTTCTTTTTATGCATTTGCTGTACATCAAAGCACTTTGTAAACGTGTGTTTTTTAGAGGTGCTATAGATATTAAGTTATTATTATTATTAGAAGAACATAGAGAAGGTTTTTCTTCTCTCTCCCCTCTTAGCTTGCAAGAGGAATGAACTTCCAAACCTTCCCAGGAAACAATGAGGCTTTACCCGTATTAGTCAATTATCTCTGAGATGGAACTTCTTTTCAATTGCCACACCTTTACCAGAAACAAGAAAGGTTTCCTCATTCTTGGGAAATTATTTTAAGTGTAGGAATGTACACAGGGAGGGTTGTATTTGTTTGAGGTTGTTGGGTTTAAATATTAAGAACTCTACAGAATCACCCCGCCTCCGATTGTCAAAAATTTGACCACTATTGTTTAATTGTAATAACAATAATTGCTGTGTGTCCAGAAAGCAGCATGTCTTGTTTTTAATGGTATGATTTGATTTGATTTGTTCATGTTAAGTAGCAGAATATGAATCATGGAGACTAATCAGGCATTTTATTAATCACCCTTCATGTTGTCGAAGCACAGAGTGTTTTAGTATTTAATCTGGAGAAAGTGTGTCGGAATTGTTTACATGTTTGTATCTGTGTGGCTCGTGTAGCCATCTCACCTTTAATGATTATATTTCTGTACATTTGGTCTTTTTTCAAAGCAGGTTACCAACTATGCGTGTGTAAAAAAGCTTACTTCGTTTATATATTTTCTAAATGCCCTGATTGTGTAGTTTAACTTCTGCAACAACTGAATGGTTTTTCTTCATCTGAGGTAGAAACTGTTGCTCTCGCTCAGATTTGAATCTTAAAAGTTTGTAATCAGAACATACCTGAACATGTTCCCATGATTAGGTTTGTATACAGTCAGTATGAGTAAAGAGATACATGAAGGTGAGGTGTTTGGATTCTTTTTGCTTTGTTCTTTTTATGCATTTGCTGTACATCAAAGCACTTTGTAAACGTGTGTTTTTTAGAGGTGCTATAGATATTAAGTTATTATTATTATTAGAAGAACATAGAGAAGGTTTTTTCTTCTCTCTCCCCTCTTAGCTTGCAAGAGGAATGAACTTCCAAACCTTCCCAGGAAACAATGAGGCTTTACCCGTATTAGTCAATTATCTCTGAGATGGAACTTCTTTTCAATTGCCACACCTTTACCAGAAACAAGAAAGGTTTCCTCATTCTTGGGAAATTATTTTAAGTGTAGGAATGTACACAGGGAGGCTTGTATTTGTTTGAGGTTGTTGGGTTTAAATATTAAGAACTCTACAGAATCACCCCGCCTCCGATTGTCAAAAATTTGACCACTATTGTTTAATTGTAATAACAATAATTGCTGTGTGTCCAGAAAGCAGCATGTCTTGTTTTTAATGGTATGATTTGATTTGATTTGTTCATGTTAAGTAGCAGAATATGAATCATGGAGACTAATCAGGCATTTTATTAATCACCCTTCATGTTGTCGAAGCACAGAGTGTTTTAGTATTTAATCTGGAGAAAGTGTGTCGGAATTGTTTACATGTTTGTATCTGTGTGGCTCGTGTAGCCATCTCACCTTTAATGATTATATTTCTGTACGTTTGGTCTTTTTTCAAAGCAGGTTACCAACTATGCGTGTGTAAAAAAGCTTACTTCATTTATATATTTTCTAAATGCCCTGATTGTGTAGTTTAACTTCTGCAACAACTGAATGGTTTTTCTTCATCTGAGGTAGAAACTGTTGCTCTCGCTCAGATTTGAATCTTAAAAGTTTGTAATCAGAACATACCTGAACATGTTCCCATGATTAGGTTTGTATACAGTCAGTATGAGTAAAGAGATACATGAAGGTGAGGTGTTTGGATTCTTTTTGCTTTGTTCTTTTTATGCATTTGCTGTACATCAAAGCACTTTGTAAACGTGTGTTTTTTAGAGGTGCTATAGATATTAAGTTATTATTATTATTAGAAGAACATAGAGAAGGTTTTTTCTTCTCTCTCCCCTCTTAGCTTGCAAGAGGAATGAACTTCCAAACCTTCCCAGGAAACAATGAGGCTTTACCCGTATTAGTCAATTATCTCTGAGATGGAACTTCTTTTCAATTGCCACACCTTTACCAGAAACAAGAAAGGTTTCCTCATTCTTGGGAAATTATTTTAAGTGTAGGAATGTACACAGGGAGGGTTGTATTTGTTTGAGGTTGTTGGGTTTAAATATTAAGAACTCTACAGAATCACCCCGCCTCCGATTGTCAAAAATTTGACCACTATTGTTTAATTGTAATAACAATAATTGCTGTGTGTCCAGAAAGCAGCATGTCTTGTTTTTAATGGTATGATTTGATTTGATTTGTTCATGTTAAGTAGCAGAATATGAATCATGGAGACTAATCAGGCATTTTATTAATCACCCTTCATGTTGTCGAAGCACAGAGTGTTTTAGTATTTAATCTGGAGAAAGTGTGTCGGAATTGTTTACATGTTTGTATCTGTGTGGCTCGTGTAGCCATCTCACCTTTAATGATTATATTTCTGTATGTTTGGTCTTTTTTCAAAGCAGGTTACCAACTATGGGTGTGTAAAAAAAGCTTACTTCGTTTATATATTTTCTAAATGCCCTGATTGTGTAGTTTAACTTCTGCAACAACTGAATGGTTTTTCTTCATCTGAGGTAGAAACTGTTGCTCTCGCTCAGATTTGAATCTTAAAAGTTTGTAATCAGAACATACCTGAACATGTTCCCATGATTAGGTTTGTATACAGTCAGTATAAGTAAAGAGATACATGAAGGTGAGGTACCTGTGTGTCTCTAAGTTCTGATTGAGTTTCCAGAAGAACGACTCTGCTCATCAGGTTCTCCCAGCTCTCTCTTGAGATGATCACCACGCCACCTTCACTCTGTGAGAAACATTTCATAAAGAAGATTTCCTCTGCTGTCTGACTGATGAGGGAAATAACTGATGATAAAGAGTGAGTGCTGAACCTTATCTGTGTGTCTCCGTCTCTCCAGGTCTTCCAGGCGTCTCTCCAGGACTCTGATCCGGTCCAGTCCAGGCTGCAGACTCTGTAGCTGGGCCTCCAGAGCTGAGAGTCGTCCCTCTAGCTCTGAGTGAGACTGAGACACAGACCAGACTGATTTTACATCCAGAAGAGTAGTATGTAAATAAAAACAGAATGTGATGATATGCAAAACAGTAATGCCCATATTTCACTGAAAATAGCTCAAAGACAACATTACAAATGTTGAAATGAAATATTTCACTGTTTTGGGAAAACGATATGCTCATTTTTAATGTGATGCCAGATCCATCCATCCATCCATTATCTATATCGCTTTTCCCTTTAATGGTCGCAGGGGGCTGGAGCCAATCCCAGTTGTCATTGGGGCGAGAGCAGGGAAATACAGAGGCTTTTTAGGTAGGGTAGAGTCACTTCTATCTGAACCATTTTGCTTGCCCGCTTTCATTGCTGCAACACCTGTTGGTTTGTTGTTTGCCTGGCAATCTGAGGGGCGCCCAAAACCGTTGTGTCGGGGTTCCTTAAAACCGCCTTCCTTCTCTGGTCCAAACAAATCCAGAGCATTCAGGACCAGAATCTAAAGTTAGGAGGAGGACATACTGGCTGCTGCATTGTTGTCAGAGAAGCCAGCACTTCAACACAGCATGTTTACTTAATGTCTGATCATATAGTAAGATCACTTTATCATTTCATTCAGTTGATATTTAATATATTGCTCCTTAAAATATGGTTGGCTATCCGTCAAAGATGATCATCTCCTCCATGTTAATTTTTTAACCAAGAGGAACTAAACATCTTGTTTTATTGAAATCTTTTTGGATCCAAATATTTTAAGGTAATTCAATTTAATAACTAGAGATGGGCAGATGATACAAAAGCTCTAAAATCTTTCTTTCCACCCATTCTGTCTGGTTTTGTGTAAAATAGAGAAAATAAAACATGTTTCATGCACTCTGGAGCTTTTAAGAATCACTGCTTTCCAAAAAGCTTCATTCATTTTCACAATTTAGAAAGTTTAACAGCTAAGAAATCAGAGACACACCGATCCACTTTTTTGGGGGGATTTCACTTATATTTGACTTTGTTGTGTTATTTCTGTGCTGTCGTTTTGGAACAATCTGGCTCTAGAATTCTCTTTACAATAATGAAAGTGAAACGTTTTCTTAATTTATTAAAGTGCAGTGTGGTGCTGAGAACTGCTATACCTTTAACAGCCACCAGATGTCGCTGTGTTTGCAGAGATTGAGGTAATGAATAAGGCCTTCATCAGGCCCGTCACTGTATTTGCCTGATAGAGACTCACCTGAAGGCGGTCGCCCTCCTGCTCATCTTCCTCCTCCTCTTCCTCCTCATCTGCCTCCTCCTCTGTGATCATGTTTCCAGGAGAACTGGAGGAGAACCTTTCTGCATGAAAGATGGATTGATATTCTGTGTGATTCACTACGAGTGGCTGATCAGGCGCCTAAAAAACAAACACAAAGGCATTAAATTGAAGAAAATGAACTTAGCTCACTGATTAAGAAGTCTAATACACGACCTGTCTGACTCTTCTCACCTGATTAAAGCACTGATTTAAGAAAGCAACCTTCTACACTCCACTTATGATTAGTGTGGGCTGAACTTCTCCTCTGCCAATCCGGCCTGCCCTCCTTGTTCTGGGCCGGACATCTGACTCTGGGCTACAAAAAAACAAGAAAACACACATGTTGAAAGGTTGGATCATGAAGGGGTAATGTCAAAGTGCCAGGTGGACAGAGAGGGGAGAAGGGAGGATAAAAACATAATGGATGGAGGGATGGATAAAGACACAATGAATACAGGATGAGGAGGCAGGTAGTGATAACGGAGAGATGAGCTGGTGATGAGGATGGAGCAAAACTGTTTTGTTTTTTTAACAGAAATGAAGTTAAGAAAAAGTCATTTACTTGTGACAGCAGCTAAATAAACACGTGCGATACCAGTCATCCTTGTACAGTTGTCTTTCAGAATATTGGTGATGTTTTGTCTGTATGTGTTTTTACCCTATGTATTTTATTTTGCTTGTCTTTTAAATGTTTTCTAATGGACTCCTGAGGCTGGCAATAGAGATGGTGATGATGATGATGATGATGAAACAGTGTGAACAGTGTTCAACTCGCAGTTGATCCCCTCAACAACAACACTTTAAGGCTCCCTTAAAGCTCCACCTAGCGTTTTATCGTACCAGAAAAGCGCTGGTTGTGCACTCGGGGGGCATTAGCACGAAGCATTTGTGCGCTGAGAAGAAAAGCGCTGCACATCTGTCCATGGCAACAGTCAGCTGACAACGGCAGCTGATTGACTGACACTGCTCTGTTACTTTTTACTGTATGTTTTTTATTTCAGATTGTTTATTTCTCGATCAAACACAAAGAGGATGTGGGTACAAGACATGATCCGTAGGCGGTAAAACTACGGGGGGTATTATATATTTGGTAAAAGAGTGCCGGTGACGTCAACAGCGCCTTTCTGAAAAGTTGAGGGATTCTCAACTTGAGCGCTCGGTGTGACCGCACGAAAAAGGAGAAGGGCGCTGTGCCTTTTCTCCAGGCGGCTGCTTTCTGCTGCGCACGCTGTCTGCTCATTGAAAACAACGCTAGGTGGACACGGGGCCTGACAAAAGTTAGTTACATAATAAACAAAGTAAATATTTACTGCCATATATGTTATTGCACATTTAAAAATGATGTGTAGAATACAAATATGACCCTTTTCTACATGACAGATACATTCCAGAAAAAATATCACTAAAATAATGGGTGCAATATTTAAATTTATACGTGGATTTCCTCTTTTAATTTTCTTAAATCCATTAATTTTGAACATTAAGTTCTATTATTATGTTTAAAGTACAATAGCAAAAATACAAACATGCAAAGACAGCAGATGTGATTCTTTGATCTCGGACTGTTGTTTCATACAGAAACAGGAAGTCCTCTGATGGTAGAGATCAAATAACAACTTTAATGAAGAAGAAGTGACATTATTCAAACCTTCTTCAGCTGGTTGTGTTTCTGCTGCACAAAGTTAATGACGTCACACATCACAGAGATTTTCCTCTGAGAGAAACCCCACTGCAGGAACTGCTGCTTGGTCAGGACGGGCTTATAGTGGAAGATATCTCTCAGCACCCACACACACACACACACACACACACACACACACACACACACACACACACACACACACACACACACACACACACACACGTTAACAACCACTACAGACTGCTAGATTTACAGTGAGGTAGAGAAACAGTGGAGGGTTTCCAGTTTGGGGAGTTCAAAATGTATCCCTGCTTTATGCAATGATGGTTTCAGATTTCTTCTTCAATCTGGACCTCCAGCAGGCCTTGGGGCGGTTTGCAGCAGAGGCAGAAGAAGTCGGGATGAGGGTCAGCAACTCCAAGTCTGAGGCAATGGTTGTATGTCTGAAAAACATTGGATTGCTCCACGCGTGGGGAGTGAGCACCTGCCTCAGCTCAAGGAGTTGAAGTATCCTGGGTCTTTTCTGAGGAAAGGAAAAAAGGATTTGATACTGACAGTCAGATAGGGACAGCGTCAGCAGTATTGGCCAGACCGTCGTTATGAAGAGGGAGCTGAGTCGAAAGGCAAAGCTTTCAATTTACCGGTTGATCTACATTTCAATCCTTACCTATAGTCATGAGCTATGTAGTGATGAAAGAATAAATAGTGAATAAAAGTGGCTGAAATAAGTTTCTTCCAGAGGAGGGCTGGCTCAGCCTTAGAGTAGGGTGAGGAGCTCAATATCCGGAAGGAGCACAGAGAAGAGCTGCAGCTCCTTCGCATTGGAAGGGGCCAGTAAAGGTTGTTTTTCTTTCATTGAACAATTCACAGAACCCAGGATATTCATAATCTGGGACAGCCTCATTCGCCGTGGGGAGAAGAGGGCAAGGGAGACCATCGGGACCAACCTTGGTCTGGATGCCCGGGTCCAGTGGTTGGCTGGGGGTGGCATGGTCTGGAGGAACTTTCTCCCCTTCTTTCACCAGTTCTTCAAGGAAGAGCTGTTCCAGATGTCCTGCTCATTCACTGCGGCGGGAATGACCTTGGCCGAGTGAAAGGTATCATGCTCGTCGCACGATCTCCATCGGCAGTTCCCCCAGATGAGGATCATCTTCTCGGCCATCATCTAGAGGAGCCGGTGGAGATCTTGCAGCCCGAAGAAAATGAACGAAGCCCGTCTCTTTGTGAACAGTGTGATGGCTTCCATTGTTTCATCTGTTGATGGATGCATTGTGCATCATCCTCAGATAAAGTTTAGGGATCTTGGCCTTTTTTTGAGAAATGTTATATTTTTAAATAATATCACCCTTTGTTTGAAAGACCAAATCCAGTAGGATGGTGCTGGATGTGGTTTTTCAAACAAAATCTTTGCAGGGAAAAAAAAACAAGATTTACCTTTACTTTAAGAGTTTGATGTTCAATCATTCTATTGTTTAAATATTTAGCTACACAAGTTTGTGTTCTTTTTAGCAAACAAGGGTAGTCATCACACTGTTCAGGTCTGTCACAGCTCTTCCTCCCACTCTCTCTTTTCTCTCCCCTTTCTTTTACCCCCCCCCCCAAACTCTGCTGTACCCCAGCCATTCCACCTGATGGTATCCCTTACTTTTTTCTCCCCACGGCGAACTCCTTTGGACTGTGGAAGGAAGCCCTCACAGAAACAAAAATAGTTATTACTTAGTTTATTATTATACTTACTGCTATACTTGTACCTCAAACCTATTCTAGTTCTATCATGCAGCTCAAGGGGTTCTGGTTGTATTACCAGTATTACTCCAGGTACGGCTGATCCTGATTCAGTACTAATTGGCAAGTTGCACTATGAAACCAGTAGGGGCATCAGGTAATCAATAACCTGCAAAACAGGTACATATGTCTATATTTCACGGTTTAATCCTTTTGGGTTACTTTGAACAAAACCGCCCCAGATTCTG